TGATCTGCAACAACTAGCAGATGATGTTATTTGCCCCATGTCAGCAACAACAAAAACTTCCACTGCTAATGTTTGCACGTTAAAGGGGCATGGCGTTTTTCTCCTGGCTGGTTGGCAACCCTATGCACACCACCCTGAACTCCTTGGAAGACTGGATAGGCTAAGAATGTGCTAAATAAATATGGATGGGACGTTACAGGATGCTGGTCCAGGCCCATTGCCAGGAATTTGGTGGTTAGAGGACCTATCAGCAAAGAGGGGTATTGTGTGTGAATGGATACCATAATTATAAATAGTCCAATGTATTTATAGATTGTGTTAAACATGAAGACAATTTAGCAGTAGAAAAGAGTAAGAGTCCAGTAGCACCTTAAAAGACTAACAAAATGTGTGGTAGGGTATGAGCTACCACACATTTTGTTAGTCTTGAAGGTGCTACTGGACTCTTACTCTTTTCTACTGCTACAGACAGACTAACTTAGCTACTACCCATCTTGATCTACAATTCAGCAGTATCCGGCTGCAAAGCAGTGGCCTAGTACCTGCCTATGATCCTAGTACCCTTTGGATTCATTGGCCAAACCTCTGGAATTTGGGACTGGTTCCCGCTTCCCACCCGCCTGCCCCCGCTTCTTACTGACCAGTTGAGTCACTGCTGCCTGCACAGTTTCCTTCTTTTTAAAATGGACGCTGAACATGCGGGGAAGAAGCCTGGAATATCCCTCCCCCCCCTCCCCATCCGCTTTGTGAGTGTGCCTTGTCCGGGGTCCAAGCTATAGCTGTAAACCTCAGCTGTTACTCAGCTGTTACCCGGCCTCACAGGCCGGGTCATTGACTGCAGATGCCCCAGTTTGTCGAACCTCTTCCTTCACATGGCTGTGCTTCACAAGGAAGCATGACAGCTGCAGGGAGGGTGCCAGTTAGGGTTACCAACCTCCAGGTGGGGTCCTGGAGATTTCCTAGAATCACAACTGATCTCCAGACTACAGAGATTGGTTTCCCTGGAGAAAAGGGCTGCTTTGGAGGGTCGACTGTATGGCATTGTAGCCTTCTGAGGTGCCCCCCTTCCCGAACCCCACTCTCCCCAGGCTCCACCTCAAATCTCCAGGAATTTCCCAGTCTGGAGCTGGCAACCCTAGGTGGCTACTGTGAGTAGTGTGTTACAGCGGCAATGGCTGCTGGAACTGAGGTGAAAAGAAACTTGGTCATTATTATTGCAGCCCTGACCGGGACAGTCCAGGCTGTTGTTGTTGTTTAATATATGCCCCGCCCTATCCCAGAAGTGGGCTTAGATTAATAATAAAAGTGATAAAACGGGCTCTTTTCGTAGCAGGGACTCCTTTGCCTATTAGGCGACACACCCCTCATGTAGCCAATCCTCCAAGAGCTTACAGTACCCCCTGTGAGAAGAGCTCTGTAAGCTCTTGGAGGATTGGCTACATTAGGGGTGTGTCACCTAATACGCAAAGGAGTTCCTGCTACAAAAAGAGTGTCTCATGTCAGGTGAATAAAAAGCTCCAGTGCCCAAGTGATGTTATCTAAAGCAGCAGGGCACTGTGAAGGGGCTATGAACAGGGGAGGCCGGAAATGGTTGCACTTCCGCCACCTCAGCCGAAAGCCTGGTGGAACAGCTCCGCTTTACAGGCCCCGCGGGACTATAATAGGTCCCTCAGGGACCTGATCTCAGGTGGGAGCATGTTCCACCAGGTTGGGGCAAGGGCCGAAAAAGCCCTGGTTGAAGCTTAGGGTTGCCAAGTAAATTTTACTCACTGGTGGGGGAGCCTCACTGCGCTCTGGGAGCCTCCGGTGACCTCCAGTGACGCAGCCATGCTGCGCTTCGGGGGGCGGAGTTCCCCCCGGGGCCCAATTCCGCGGCGGCGTAAATAGGGCCTCCAAAGCGGGGGTTTACCCGCCACCCGCCCCCACTTGGCAGCCCTATTGAAGCTAGCCTGGCCTGGTCAGATTTGGAAGCTAAGTAGGGTTGGCCCATGGTTAGTATCTGGACGGGAGACCACCAAAGAATTCCAGGGGTTGAGATGTAGAGGCAGGCAATGACCTCCGGTCATCTCTTGCCTTGAAAACCCCATGGTTTTGTAATAAGTAGGCTGTAACTTGCCAGCAAACAGTCTCTCTCTCAGAGGTCAAAGAAAATGAGATCTCTAAAGGTTCATAACACTGGCTGGTCTTGGGATTGGTTTGGGGGGGCAGGCTGTTGAGGCTTAGCTCTCTGGTGTCCAAGAAGGCCCCAGCGTGCCTCATCCAACCCTCCTAAGGTAGAAAAAAATAAAATAAAAACTGTAACATTCATTCTTTATCAAGTACCTTAACGACAAGGTGCAGTATAAGAAGCCAAACCTCCAAAAAGCTAGGCCGCTTGAAGAAATCGGCCTGTGCAAGTGCAGGAGTCTGAAGGTTTTGCTGTTGCTTCTTCCTTTTTAAATAAGATAACAGCAGTGATTGTTGCCACGAGATTCCCCGAGGGAATCCGTCATAAAAGTCCAGAGCTTGGAGCAGAAGCTTGTTTAGCGAGACCCATTAAGGCTCGGGGTTTTGTCAGACGGCTTTTCTGTCTCGGTAATAGGCTGATCGCCCCCTTCAGTAATAGGCACAGCTTGAATAGCCAAGGACAAAAACCTGAGCAGAAAGACCATTCCAGGTGCTTAAAACTGTAATAACATGGTTCTTGCACCGTGCTTAACGTCTCAGCAAAAGCACCATTGTAACCCCCAAGTTTACTCATCAGCGGACGTGCTTCAGTGTGAAATCACTTTGGGGTTCCGCTCACAAGCTTCTTCTCTTTTTTTCTGCCGTCAAGTCACAGCCGACCTATGACAACCCCTTAGAGTTTTCAAGGCAAGAGACGTTGAGAGGTGGTTTGCCATTGTCTGCCTCTGCATCACCACCCTGGTATACCTTGGTGGTCCCTCATCCAAGTACTAACCAGGGACAACCCTGCTTAGCTTCCACGATCTGACAAGATGAAGCTAACCTGGGCTATCCAGATCGTGGCACCCACAAGCCAGTGTCCCTGGCATGGATGGGGGGTGTACAAAAACTGTGATGTTGGACAGCTCCCATTCGTTTCTGTGGGGCTTCTACAGGAAGACTCTTCCAGTGGTTTATGTATCCTACAGCAGAACTCTCTCTCGTTCTCTCTCGTACCCTTAATGGTGCACAAAATCTGCCTCCCAGTACAATCGCCTTTGTTGGAAAATGCTTGCCGACTTCATTTTTTTCTCCCTTCTGTGCATACTTTCCAAGTGTCTCATACTGCCTGGAAAACACCTCTTTTTCACATTGGTCAGTTTCAATGGCCGGAGGACTGTGAAGCTGGCAAGATTTCTTTTCACACCTACATGCACATTTATATCTATGGGAGGTTGCAATGCATGACTGGAGCAGAGGAGTGCACGACCTTTTCCAGAAATATAAAGGGCAAAACCTAGGAAGAGTCTGAAATGGCAAGGAGGTCACCAGGCAGGGCAACCTTGTGCGGATTCCTGCTTGTTTCTTGTGGCGGGGTGTGTGTGTGTGTTGAGCAGAACAGCAGGGTTTTTTCAGCCTTTTAAGCTTTAAAATGGCACAGGAATGGGTTGGTGGCAGATCTGGGTGGTTTGTGTAATATCGCAGGCACTGTCCAGAAGCCTGAAACACTCATCCAAATCATACTCCACACTGCTCTTATTGCCCTGCAATCTGTTGTTGTTATAACTATTTTTTCATTAATTTTTGTAACCTTCCTTAAGATCCTTTAAAAGGGCTGTTTAGAAATGGTTTTAGAAAATAAAATGAATACAGGTAGCCTCATTTTTTCAGCGCAAAATATTGTATTTTGGATCCTGGGATCCTTTTCTTTATATTTCTTGCTTGATCCATTGCTGTGCGGAGTATGTGTGTGGACTTTTCTTTTTCAGTAAATCCCTTTTTTTCTATTTTAAATGCTGGTAGTTACTCACTGTACCACAGAGCATGCTCAAAGAGTGGAGGTCTATTTAAAAGAGGTGCCAGAAGGAGGGAGGCACTTGGTTGCTAGACTGCAATTTCCCCAGGACTGCAGAGTGCACAAGTGGAATAAGCCACCCTGCTTGTAACCACTTGTTGGTTAGTGGGAGATATGGGCACTAGATGAAGCCTTTAAATCACAACATGGAAGGGAAGCTAGAGGTGCTGGCCCTCCTGGTGGGAATTTCCAAACTGACCAGTTGGTGGCAGTGTGCCGAAGGAAAAGCAAGAGAAAACCCCTGCGAGTCTCAGAATGACGGCTGAGCACCTAGATACTTTGGAGGCTGAAATGGAATAGGGCTTGCAGGTCTGTGGAGCCATTCCATGATAATACTTATAAGTAAAGTGACCCTTCATCAGCTTCCTTTTTCAGCCCTTCCTCTCTACACATACACACTAGCAGCGGATCCAAAAAGAAGTACAAAACAAACAAAAAAATGGTGGCTTTATAGTGGCACATAATCCAGTTGATGGGGTTTCATGACCCATCTGAGGTCCTGGATTCAAGAATACTAGTCTAGGGCAATCTAGCTGCATTTCCTCCTGTTCTTATAGTTCCTATCCTTCCCCCTTGCCTGTGTGGTTTCCATACAGGAAAACTGTAAATTGTAAGTTTTTTAAAGAGACTTTTTCTTGAGTCCCTGCCATATTGTATACTATACCACCATAGCCCTAGAGAATTGTGCAAATGGGGAAAACTGTCAAAACCACTTTAGAAGCTTCTTCTGGCACTCCCAAAGGTGCAACACCCAGTTGTTATGACCTCTTTTTCCATTTGAAATGTGTGTGGGGGGGGGAATGAACAGAAGGAGACATATTCTCAGATTTCCTCCTCTTCTTACCCAAAAGCAACTTTCAGCAGGCCAGGATAGCTAGGCTAAGTCCAGTAACCAAGCTCAAGAAAGGCTTAGACAAATTTGATCCTGAGAACTGATCAAGACACGTCTTCTTGCCCTTTCTTTTTCCAGTTTCCAGAGTTGAAAAGAGCATCTGACCTCATGAGCATCTGTTCTAATGCAGCCAATGGTCATGCAGGGATGCTCTTTCACCCTCCCGAGATGTCATGAGTGGCATACTACAGGCCAACCACGTCGCAACAGCACCTCCCACACACAGTCTCAGGTAAGAGCCCTGGTGTTCCCGCATTATCATGCTTTACTTTGTTTGGGTGAACGCAGAATCTTGACAATAATAATTAAAATAGGCTTCTAAAACAGTAGTTCACCTGGACACCTAGGATGATTAAGAATCACTCCCAGGTGAGCAGGCAAGAAAGGTTGCGTAAAAATATATTATTTTCTTTTCTGTCAGTTTCTTTAGCAATTTGTTGTACCGCTGGAATATGGCATCACTCAAATCAATCATTTAAAAAGTCATCTTACTACTTCAAGTAACCATGAAACAGCCTGTCAACAAATCAACTGAAACAGCAACTGAAACCATCCTAGTGAATCCACAGGGCAGAATGATGAAAACCTATTAAAAGCCATTTTAAGCGCTAGCAAAGCAGAAATGACCTTGCTGTTCTCGATCTCCTAGGAGTGCAGTAGAGCCAGACGAATTCGTCTGGGGAACGGAATCCCATAATAGTTGGACAAGAGCTGAAAAGGCCCCTGCTTCTCTTGGGACGCCCATCTTGCATCCACAAACAATGGGAATTTGAGCTGGGCTGCTTTTGCGATGGAGCTCATGTTGCCATTATTTGTTATCTCATTGCACTCCTCCTTCGAGGCACTTTGAGCAGGTTCCATCCAATGTTCCCTCTAAGCTGTGGAGTCTTGTGAGCAAAAATTCTACTTTGTGAGCTACCGGCATTAAAGTTGTGAGCAAGCAATTTGGCTACTGCATTAATTAGTTTGCTCTGGAGCCATCCTCCCTGAGCGAAGGCAAAAATGTGTGAGCCGGAGGCTAAAAAACGGTGAGTTAGCTCACACTAACTCAGCTTAGAGGGAACACTGGTTCCATCATCTCTGTCCCCTCTTGTTTTATCCTTACAGCAGCTGAAGGAAAGCGAGTGACACAAGGTCATCCACTGGTGGCGGAAAGTGCCACTAAATCACAGCCGGCTTACGGCAACCCTAAGAGGGTTTTCAAGGCAAGAGGTGTTCAGAGGTTGTTTTGCCATGGCCTGCCTCTGCACAGCGACCCCGGACTTCCTTGGTGGACTCCCCTCCAAGTACTCACCAGCAATGCTCCCTCTAAGCTGTGGAGTCTGGTGAGCAAAAATATCTACCTGGTGAGCTCCTGGCATTAAAGTTGTGAGCGAGCGATTTGGCTACTGCATAAATTAGTTTGCTCTGGAGCCCTCCTTCCTGAGCTAAGACAAAAATCTGTGAGCTGGAGGCTAAAAAACTGTGAGCTGGCTCACACTAACTCGGCTTAGAGGGAACATTGCTCACCAGGGCTGACCCTGCTTAGCTTCTGAGGTCTGATGAGATCAGCCTAGCCTGGGCCTTCCAGGGCAGGCCAGGCCATCCAGAGTGCTCTTCTAAGCAGAGT